CATGTAAGTGAGATTTTTAATGTGATCTGGTGGCGCCCCCCCCCACCCACCCTTTGGTATCTTTAGTTCATGTAAGTCAGCGGTTCTCAAACTGTGGGTCGAACTCCTTTAGGGTCGAATGACCCTTACACAGGGTTTCGCCTATGACCATCGAAAACATGAACAACTGTATTAAAGGGTCGCGTCATTAGGAAGGGTTACCACTGATGTAAATGAAGTATTTTTATGTGATCTGGTTGCGTCTCCAACACCCACCTCATCACCAGATTGGCGGAAGCGAACATCCACCCTGTCTCATGGAAATTGGGCAATTTAGCATGGTATGTAGTTAGATATTTTAATTTTTGTTAAAGCAATAAGAAATATGCACTCAAATAATTTTTATAATAAGTTGACTATTCAACAAAGATGTTGATAACAAGCAATTGTAAATTTTGGTCATTACTCATAATACTTTACATGTTCAGTAAATCAAATAATCTGATCCAGAAATTGTTCAAAAAATTTAAAAAGAGCCCTGTAATTTTTGTTATTGTTACAGTTCTTAAACAGCTTGCTATGTACGTTAGCGGTCAAAGCTCTGTCCAGCCTACGTTTTGGACCTGATTTCTGTCCCCAGGGAAGCCAATTTCCTTTTCAGTAACGTCTTTCAATTTTTCCTTTGCCGTATTAATCTTGTTACCTTGAGAAATTCAAAAGCCAGCCTCCCTGAGCAGGGAGGGATTTTAATCACCATCTTAACTCATATTGATTAAAACTGCTTCCTTTTCCCCTTTGCCTTTGCAGACAACATGGTGTGATCAGTGTCTATCTTGGTGATAGGTCTTGCCTGATAATTTTCTGTGCCTATGTTAAGCAGCCAAACAGAACTCCCCTTGCGTTTTTTTTGCATCGCATCTACATCAAAACTTATCATAGTGCACCGAATCAACATAACAACTTATCATAGTGCACCGCATCAACATCACAACTTATCATAGTGCATCGCATCAACATAACAACTAATTATAGTGCACCGCATCAACATAACAACTAATCATAGCGCACCGCATCAACATAACAAATAATCATAGCGCACCGCATCAACATAACAACTAATCAAAGTGCACCGCATCAACATAAAAACTTATCATAGTGCACCGCATCAACATCACAACTTATCATAGTGCAGCGTTTCAACACAAAAACTTATCATAGTGCACCACATCAATATCCCAACTTATCATAGTGCATCGCATCAACATCACAACTTATCATAGTGCACCGCATCACCATCACAACTCATCATAGTGCACCGCATCAACATCACAATTTATCATAGTGCACCGCATCAACATAACAACTAATCATAGCGCACCGCATCAACATCACAACTAATCATAGTGCACCGCATCAACATAACAACTAATCATAGCGCACCGCATCAACATAACAACTAATCATAGCGCACCGCATCAACATAACAACTTATCATAGTGCACCGCATCAACATAACAACTTATCATAGTGAACCGCATCAACATCACAACTTATCATAGTGCAGCGTTTCAACACAAAAACTTATCATAGTGCACCACATCAATATCCCAACTTATCATAGTGCATCGCATCAACATCACAACTTATCATAGTGCACCGCATCAATATCACAACTTATCATAGTGCACCGCATCAATATCACAACTTATCATAGTGCACCACATCAATATCACAAATATCATAGTGCACAGCATCAACATCACAACTTATCATAGTGCACCGCATCAATATCACTACTTATCATAGTGCACCATATCAATATCACAACTTATCTTAGTGCACCGTATCAATATCACAACTTATCATAGTGCACCGATTCAACACAACAACTAATCATAGTGCACCATATCAATATCACAACTTATCATAGTGCACCGCATCAACATCACAACTTATCATAGTGCACCACATCAACATCACAACTTATCATAGTGCACCACATCAATATCACAACTTATCATAGTGCACCACATCAACATCACAACTTATCATAGTGCACCACATCAATATCACAACTTATCATAGTGTACCACATCAACATCACAACTTTTATTTTCAAAACAAAGAAAATAACACGGTTAACTTAAAAATTTCTTCTTTAAAATTTTTTTTAAAAACTTATTAAATTTCCCACTTCTAAACTTCAGACCAACGCTAGAGATAGCCTTACTATGTGTAGAAATTTTGGGGTTAAGACTTGCCGATAACTGTTCCTTTACTATAAATTTCATTTATGATTTTAAAAAAAACTACATATTTTCGGCGTTGATTACCTTGAACTTTTGGTGGGCCTAATCTAACCACTGGTAAAATTTTTCGGAGTGGATGAGACAATTATCTTTATTTACCTTTCATTTAAAACAAACAAAAAAATATACACAGCAGCTTTTATTACCTATCAATTTCATTCAAATTATGATTGTTATGTTTACTTTTTTCTTTCATTGGTGGTGCCATATGGTGCACCTTATAGATCCATTATATTCCACTAAGGCTTATTTAAATTATCGGGGGTGGAATAATCCTAAACTAAATGTGAGTACCTAACTAAGCGTCTGTCAGGCATCTGTGCTCGGCACGCTCCTACAGGACAACACACGCCAGTGATGAGCAGAAACTCAACAGCTTCCTCTAAAGATGCATGCCTCACATTTTGTGAATTCATTTGCAGGACAAAGTGCGTAACACAAAGGTTTTGGAACGTGCCATGTTCTACGATCTTAGCAAGGGGCACGTTTGCGTGTTAGGCAGATGTAAGGAGAATTGAGGAAGGCCCTAATTCCAAATGTATGCTGTATGGATCGTTGGCAGAAGTGACAATACTTATTGGACGGCCACTGCTGCGTTTTGAGGACGTTTGCAAAAGGAACATAAAGGAAGCCAACATTGAAATCAACAATGGGAGATCATAGCCAAGGACCGTTCAAGCTGGCAAACAGCAGTATTGGAAAAAATCGAAAAGCACTGTATGAGGTAATCAAACAGCAGTGTATGAAAGAATCCAAAAGCAGTGTATGAGGTAATCAAACAGCAGTGTATGAAAGAATCCAAAAGCAGTGTATGAGGTAATCAAACAGCAGTGTATGAAAGAATCCAAAAGCAGTGTATGAGGTAATCAAACAGCAGTGTATGAAAGAATCCAAAAGCAGTGTATGAGGGAATCATACCGTTTGACCTACCCAATGACTCTGGGATCTCCGATTACAATGTTTGTCTTGACTTATCCTAGGTCCTTGTTGTACCATAGGCCGCTGAGTTTCGTCAAGTTTAACGTAGCCCTGGTCCAGGTGACTATGTCGACATTCAGCCAATTCTTGTTCCGTGAATCTCTGGAAAGTGTCTGATACTCAACCTGCGTCATCCTCTTCTCCGGGACAAAGTCGTTGCATGTGCCCAATTGTATGTTGGCAACCTGACGAAAAGGGGTTAGTGAACGATACATTGGCCGGGGTGAAAGGAGGAGAGGGGGGGGGCTCCCTGGGTGGAACTTTTATGTCATTATATAGAAGGGTGCCGTTTTCGTGAAATTGGTGGCGGCTAAAATCTTGGTCCGCCCATGGTGGCACTAACCCTAACTACGCCACTGGATACAAGGTTATATCATTTCTTGGATCATCAGCAGAGGGACTTCCTTCTCCTTTAAAATGATTTGTACACCTCTTCAAAGAAAGTGCAAGACTAAAATACAAAAACAAAAGTCGTTTTTTTAATTATAAAAATATGCATTTGTTATTGCATATGTGAAAGAAGAGATGTTACTCTCTCTCTTTTTACAAATATACTTATGTTTACCAATTAAGAAGATCGATGGCGTTAACAAATCTTGGGTACATTGATATAAGTATAACCATGAATATCAAAACCCAATCATCGTAAACACTTGAAAAAATAATTTTAAAAAATAGGGATGGGTTTATATTTACTTTCAAAAAACTAAAATACGTTGCACAAAGTCATGAGATTTGTATTTTATGAGATTAAACATTTAAATTAAAAAAAACAACAAGACTCAAATCTGTTATAGACATGAAAAAACGTTGCGGGATTCTTCTTTAGATAAAAGAATTCTTTGTTTTACGATTTTCGGATAAAATATAATTTTTTTTTAAAAAAAGGGCAACAATTATGTTAAAATTTTTACTTAAGATATCAATATATATCGAATTCCTATAACATAAAATAATTTTATGTCATATATAGAGTTTTTGGTGTAAATTTAATGCAATTTTTAAAACAATTTTTAGAGAAAAAAAGTTGTAATTCAAGGGCACGAAAAGGGGTAAATCTAAAGTATTTCTCTAACGTAGTAATTCTCCCTCAATTAACTTCTTTAGTGACAAATGTGATATAATAAATAATAATTTAGACTGTGTAATTTAATGTCATGTTTAGAGGGGGGAAAAGTATTTTAGGAGCCTGAAAAGGAGTAGGGTAGGCCTATAATATATAGCAGCTAAATTCTTCTCAAAACGTAATGATGTTAGAAATGTAAATATTATTACATTTTTAAAGTTATGAATTGTGATGAGTTTTTGCAATAGCAGTTAGAAATTATCGCATAGGATCTACCATTACTATCTCGATAACATCGGGTCATTTATTCTAGTATGATAAGGATGGGATTATGCCATTTCTGTTGTTTGTTAAGTTTTAAGCTTTTAAGCTATACACTTCATAAAATAATATTTCATTCAGAGAACTTGAACGCAGTTCTTCATTTAAAAGTCTTGACTTCTGTGAAGCCTTCAGTTAGTCCTTGGAGCGTTTTTTCTTCCCACAAAATGTGGAATTTTATTTCCAAGACTTATTTGTAAGTAGGTATAAGGCATTATCATTAAGGCAAGATTGATTCACATTTCTGACCATCTAATTAGAAAGCTAGTTTTTAAGTATTTACAACATTATGCACCAAAATGCACCAACAATATACTTGTGAAATATAAATACAAATTTCAAAATGGCGGATATTGTTTTATGATTCTACTTTGACCCTCATCAATCTGTTGATTACAACCTTTGGTTTCCATTGTGTTTTGTGAGCTGGGCACATCATCAGAGAGCCACAGTCCACCTTACCCGAGTGAGTTTTCTTTCTTTTGTCCAGCACACTAGCAGAGACCTACAGCACATTAGAAGAGACCTCCAGCACACTAGCAGAGACCTACATCACATTAGAAGAGACCTCCAGCACACTAGCAGAGACCTACAGCACACCTTACCCGAGTATTTTTCCATTGGAATAGTTGACAGTCTGAAATAAGTTAGTTGCTATCAGTGTTCCCATGCAGTGAGACAGGATACATATATCACAAGCATGCCTTAGAATATTCTATTAATCTGATTAAGCTAATTTATGTTATGTGGGGTTCTGTTCTTGGCGAATTTAATGTATGATCTCTATAAATATCACGATACTTGAAAATCATTGTAAAGAAAGAAACATTTTAGATTATTTATTATTCAAATACTATAGAATAATTCATGAAACTATACTATTTTAAAACGAGGTACAGTGGTCAACACGGTTATCATTAACTTTAATAGACCAGAAGTACTAGAACCATATGATACAGACTAGAGACCCGTCACGCGAGACAAACATGATACAGACGATAAATATGAGAACAAAATATTTTATAGGAGGAAAATTAAAAACTGGACCAACTTATTTTTATTCAAAATTGCGTAGTCATTTCAAATTCAATTTTAAAAACGCATTACAACATTTAATTTCGAGTTATTATTATTTCTTTCATAGTGCAAAAAACAACAAAATCAACTCAACAAATGTGTAAAGTCCTATACTGGTGGATTTGAGAAATAATGAACGGGACCGTGGAGCTAGCTCTGTGTTTTATAGTCCTCTGTGTCCAGTCTAGTAAGTTGATTCACACACATAATTGTCCTCGAGTTATGTATGTAAGGCTGTGTTCGATGGGTGTGTCAAAGAGCGCGCAAAATAAAATTCCCAGAAGTTGGCACTGAACGGGAATTTGCTAAAGTGCGTCACTTGAAAGCCTGTTGGTTCGCGTGGCTGTAGTAGATGGGAGGTTCAGCCAGTGCCACTGCCATTGTTTGCCGGGATACTTAATGGTAATTGATATAAATAGTTAACATACTAATAGTCCCATATTTAATCAATAACAAGACGGCAATCAAAGGTGTTTTGGTTAGAAGGATAGGGGTGGGGCATGATGTCCACTAATTTATATTTAGAAAAATACATTAAGAATACATTGAGTCGGATGTGTTTAGCAAAAAAAAAAAAAAAAATACGTCAATTTCCTAAGTCTTCGGCACTCATCAATGTAAGACATTTTGTCATCCGAAGTCATTGATTTGGTTAGAAGGATAGGGGGGGGGCATGATGTCCACTAATTTATATTTAGAAAAATACATTAAGAATACATTGAGTCGGATGTGTTTAGCAAAAAAAAAAAAAAAAAAATACGTCAATTTCCTAAGTCTTCGGCACTCATCAATGTAAGACATTTTGTCATCCGAAGTCATTGCTGTAAGTCATTTAGTCATCAGCAGTCATCTCTGAAAGACACTTAGCTGAAGTAATCAAGGCAATGTAGAATTTTATAAATGAACAAACTTACCGCCATCTCGATACCAAAACCCACAAACGGTAGCCATAACACCAGGTAGCTATAACAGCAGGTAGCCATAACAGCAGGTAGCCATAACAGCAGGTAGCCATAAAACAATATCTCGGTTATAGATTCTTTTCAATCGTGTAATTCCATTCTAGGAAGTATATTTTTATCCAAACATTTTTTTAAACAATCAGGGGAAAACAACAATAAATAAACCACAATCGGTGTTTATGTAAAAATTAATTTAAAAAAAAAGAACATTGAAGAAAGCCAACCTCCAGCACATATTATCGTCTGACAGAAGTGGCAAAATGTCATCACAGCATATTTTATCATGTCACTGAAATGGCATAATCCCATCCCAACATATCACAGCAATGGCATAATTAATTTCGTGATTCTGCCATCTCACAGAAATTGCCTAATCTAACCTCTAAGCTCTCTCACTATCTGTCAGAAGTGGCGTCACAAACCATCAAAGCCTTTCAGTCCTACATTGAGGATCCCGCTTGCAGGAAGTATGGAGTGGCCCGTGAGGGTGTTGACATTGTCAAGTTCACCGCCAGACTTGATGTCACTGACAACGTGGACCTCAATTATTGGCACCGTTTTATGGTGATGCACCTGACCGATGACAACCCATGGCTATTAAGTGGGTCTAAGATTGTAAGTGGTACATACATTTCAGGCAGCGATAGCTGTTCTAAAGTGGTAAGTAATACATTGATTTTAAGCAACCATACCAAGTTGTTCTTAGATGGTACGTATAAATAAATTTCAGCCAATCATAACAATTTGATCAAAGATGGTAAGTTGTAAATACATTTCAGTCAGTCACAGCAAGTTGGTCTAAGATGGTAAGCTATACATACATTTCAGTTAGTCATAGCAAGTTGGTCTCAGATGGTAAGTTGTACATACATTTCAGTCAGTCATAGTAAGTTGGTCTAAGATGGTAATGGAACATACATTTCAGGCAGTAATAGTAGTATAGTATGCGTGAATGAAACCGCCTGCTTTACGCGCACTATATTTCTTGGCGCCTAAACTTTTGAAAGCGTCTAAGGCGCAAAGCCAAATAATGATTAATTGAGGCGCAAAGGAACATAAGAACATATCATTAGTGAAGGCGCCCCTGAATGCGTATGGAAGTGGAAATTAAGGGTGATAATAAATTAATTATCGTTTTTTATTTTAATTAATATTCTTACTTTGTTGTTAGATGATGATTTAAATTAATTCCTTAAGTCTCTTGAAAGGTTAAATATGAATTTCAATTTAATTAATTGTACTGGCGAACGATTCTAAAGTTCTAAAATAAAATTATTGTGTGTGTATTTCTATCGACTCGTTCTCAACATATATTAAAATAGCTTTTTAAAATTAAATATTTTAAAATAGATTGTTTAATTAAATGTTTTAAAATACGGATAATTGTGTAGTTTTCAATTGATTTCAATGAGTTAATTTTAAAGTATTCTTCTTATTGTATTTGTTAAAAATTTATTGTGATTAATTCACAAACTGGGGTTTGGTGTCATCATAACTTGTTTCATATGAACAAGAAAGTTTACATGATTATTCCGACGTCTCCGAGAAAAAATTCAGCCCCAATGAAGTCGACCAACAACATTTCCTACCATCCCACACACACACACAGCCATTCACTAGTGTTCTTTCCTCTCGTAGGGTCCCTTTGGAACAGGAGCCTATCAGTTTTGACTTGAGACCTACGTAATTAGTTTCTGGGAAGCGTGAGGGATGGGGGTGGAGAAATTTGGGTGCTGAAGACAGTCGCGTGGTTATTTCCTCATCTGCAGATGAAACTACAAGTGAGGGAAGATCTGCAAGTATGAGAGAGGAAGATGAAGAAGCCCTACTTAAAAATTGGACAATTCTTGTAGTAACCTAGTTCCGCATTACATACTCACTGCTATGGAAGATTTTAACGCCAACTATGAGGTGGAGATTTTGGGTCATAAGATAAGAAACCAATGTGAACTATTCTTGAGGAAACTGTTAAACTCGGGCTCAGGTCGAGCGTTTCAACACTTTGTTGAAGTCTTAGAAACTGATCTTAAATGTATACTTACGAAGCAGTATGATAAGGTGGAGGCAATGAGCCATAGTTGACATGTCTTACAATCTAAATATGTGTGTTCCCACCGTGGAGAAGGTCTACTTAAAAATATATCAGAAACAATATTTCATGGCTATACATGACAAAGAACAGCATTACCTTAGACTCACCGTATGCCAAGCTTAAAGATTACGGTGCCAATTCGTTATAATTTATGTAGGAAAATGTTGTTGGTCGACTTTATTGTGGGTGAAATGCTTCTTGGGGACGTCGGAATAATTTCACTCATTAATGTCTTTTAGTTCAATAATGTTTAGGTAATATATAAATGAAATTATGTGATATTGAAAATGTAAATAATGCATGATTAAGAAACACAAGTCCTATGAAACTAAAAAAAATATAGATCTTTGTTTTATGATCACTAGTACTGACTTTGTGTTGACCGGTAAGAATTTCACAAGAGTTCATTAGATATAAATGGAAGGACATGTTGACACTCTACTGCGAAACCTGATCACCTTTTGGTATCACCAAGGCTTTTCGTCCCTAACGGTACCAACAATGGGCATAAACAAAACTAAGGAAATTCTTTCAGAACTTTATGAAGAATCATATAGACTTTCTTGTTCATATGAAACACGACCGGGGTACATTTGTTTTGCCAAATGTGCGATCTTTGACCCCGTCTCAGGTTGTTTTTGAACAGCACTATTTCATGTGAATATAGGTTGCCTGTTCTTTGTTCTTTATTTTTTCCCGAACATATTTTGGACTATGTACAAACGTATGATGTCGCGGTGGTAAATAATTTAATGATCCGATCATTTGTTTGGCTCATCAAGTCGATTATGACTACTAATCAGCGCTGCCTCCTCTCGCCTACCGACGCTTGATCCACGTCAGGAAACCCAATACTCGGATACCTTTCATCATCACGTATATCGGTTGCCATTCCCCATAACACTCTAGAATCTCCTCGCGAGTTGGGGACGACCATTTCTGGTAGATGAACCCAACATCTTTTCCTTCTCCTGCCCCGGAGTCGTCCTCACCTCAGAAAAAACCTACCCCTCCGCCCCCCTCTCTGTGTGACTCGGAGTCATCATCCTCGTCCATCCGACTCGGAGTCTTCCTCAGACAAATCGCTTTTGTCTTGGAAGAATTATATAGTGGAAATAAAAACTTTATTTAAACTTTACGAAACCTCTCTGTTCTGTATGTAAATATATGTTGTATTTAATTAAGAAAACCAGAATGTTGAATATATTGAGCGTGGGCCCTCAAATTATAGAGATAAATTGTATGAAAAGAGAACCACTGAAACAAGACAACCCACTAGCAAGACATACTTTATGAATGTTGTCACGTCACTGGTTTATAATAACTCTTAAATACTAAATTCTTGAGAAAAAAACTGTGCTTGCCTCAGAACTGTTATACAAATAATGTAAAAAAAAAATTATTAAAATGTATGACACCTGTTGCCTTGTATATATTATGGTGTAGTATACAAACTTTTAGCCTTACACTAAAGAGCAGGTTATTGTTATTATGTTAGTTCCAACTTCCCTCGATAATCAACAGTAGAGCAAAATTTGTGTTATGTGTCACTCTTAAGAGCCTCGTTGTGACACACACGAAACGCCAAAAGACGACGAACTAAGATGTACAATAGCTAGGATACTACACACACAATAAGAAGCAGAACTAGAGAACCATTCGCTAATAAAAATCAACTAATTTACAATTCATAATTAAACCCCTCAAGAGACTTTATTAAATAATTTTTAAAAAGAACAACATGTCATGCAACACGATTTATTACGAAATTAATTTGAATCATCATCTAACAACAAAGTAAGAATATTAATTAAAATAATAAAAAGATAATTAATTTATTATCACCCTTAATTTCCACTTCCATACGCATTCAGGCGTGCCTTCACTAATTCTTATGATCCTTTGCGCCTGAATTAATCATTATTTGGCTTTGCGCCTTAGACGCTTTTAAAAAAATTAGGCGCTAAGAAATATTGTCTAGTGCGCCTGAAGGAGGCGGTTCCATTCCTACATACTTTCTACTGTCATAGAAAGGTGGCCTAAGAAGGTAAGAGGTACATATATTTTATTCAGTCATAGCAAGATTGTCCACAATGGTAGGTGGTAAAATTTTCGCAAATGAACTTTAACAACAGAATGTTGCTTGAAGGAAAATTGTTTTGACTTTGAAAGGAAGTTCGTTAAAATAGAAAAATTGGTGCGAAAAATGATAAACATGAATTAAATAGTTGACATTTCCCCCATTTTCCACCTCAACATTTCTTTAAATAAATAGTTAAATAAATAAATATCTTTAGAAGTAATGTAATTTTGGCCAATCTTTGGCTGGAAAACAAGTTTACGTTCTAACAGATTTTCTTCGAACAATTTTACTTCAAACAAATCTAGTTCATAAATAATTCTGGATTTGGAAAAATTTAACTGAGACTTTGCTGAATGAATATTTTAAAACAACGTAACATGTCTTACGTCCTTTGCATCGCATTTTAATTGAGTCACTGGAACATTACAATTGGAGAGTCACTAGGTCATTAAAATTTTTAACTTTTCAAATCTAACCGATAAATAAATATTTATAAATTTAAAAAAAAAAAAAAATGCTTTGTTGTCTTTTAGTCATGCACTTTCTTTGTAAATCTGTCAACATCATATGAAGGAGAAGGAACCTCTTACTGGATATTAACATGCTGATGATCCATGAAAGGAAATAACTTTGTATCCAGTGGCGTAGCCTGGGTTAGTGCCACACGGGCCGGACGAGGCTTTTAGCGTCCCCTCCTTCCTAAACTTACACGAAAATGCCACCCCTCTGTATAAAGTCCCCCCAAAAATGCCTCCCTGGGAGGCAGCCGCCCCTGTGGCCCCGGTCAGTGGGTGTATAATTCGCAAACGCCCTTTTTCAGGTTGCCAACATACTATTGGGCGCTTGCAACGACTTTGTTCTGGAGAAGAGGAAGACGCCGGTTGAGTCTCAGACATGCTCCAGAGACCCCCGGAACAAGCACTGGCTGAATGTCGACATAGCCACCTGGACCACGGCAAAATTCAACATGACGAAATTAACCGGCCTGTGGTACAACCGGCATCTGAAATACGTCAGGGCGAACATCGTGATCAGATATCCCATAGTCATCGGTAGGTCAAACGGCTGGTCTGTGGTGAGACGGGAATATTGGTTACTTAAAAATAGGTATTCTGACCAGACATCCCAGGGTTTTAAGTATAGTCGAAATATTTGGCATGAAACGGGAAGTCAAACATAGGTCAAACAGTTGGTCTGTTATGTGGCACTCATAAAGTCAGTCATTGTGATAAGACATCGAAGGTTTAAAGTAGGTCGAAATGGTTGGCATAAGACGTGAAGTCAAACGTACTTATCCGATATATCAGAGTACCGAATATAATCGAGTATTGGTCAAACTCTTTTAAACCCAAAATATCCATGAAACCATGACCAGAATAAATGACTTGGTAATTACCGTATATACTCTTGTATACGTCACATTCTTTTAAAACAAAAAAAAATCGGTTAAAAATTAGGGGTACGACCTATCCAAACGAGATAAATGTCACTTACTGTGGCGGTGTTGAGTTGTCATTGATATGAAATTGGAGAGTTGTTGTTTCCCTTGTTTTGCTTACTTACACTAGAGCAGAGGAAAATCTATTTAAAAAAAAAAAAAATGTTAAAGGTCACGTTATTTTTGACGACTGCCTTTCGGTTTTCAAGTTTTTATTGAAACATTTTTTTTAAAGTCCTCTAATACGAGGTAGGACCTATCTGTAGGTCAGCCACAAATATCCCCTTTGTCAACTCCAAACTTAGGGTGTGACCTATCTGTAGGTCAGCCACAAATATCCCCTTTGTCAACTCCAAACTTAGGGAGTGACCTATCTGTAGGTCAACCACAAGTACCCACTTTGTCAACTTCAAACTTAGGGTGTGATCCATTCATTACTGTGACCTATCGCGTGTACTATATGTTACTAAGCAAGTCAAGTAGCTGGCCGTGTACAACGGAAATATTTGGAGTTCAGTAAAAAGAAGATGTTTTATTACTAAAGTTACGATTTTACATTTACTTTCGTTCGTTTCAAGGGGTGATGAGTGGACTACTCTTGTTACCCTTTCATTCATCACTCCCATTGCTAGTGGACTACTCTTGTTACCCTTTCATTCATCACTCCCATTGCTAGTGGGCTACTTTTGTTACCCTTTCATTCATCACTCCCATTGCTAGTGGACTACTCTTGTTACCCTTTTATTCATCACTCCCATTGCTAGTGGACTACTCTTGTTACCCTTTCATTCATCACTCCCATTGTAAGTGGACTACTCTTGTTACCCTTTCATTCATCACTCTCATTGCTAGTGGACTACTCTTGTTACCCTTTCATTCATCACTCCCATTGCTAGTGGACTACTCTTGTTACCCTTTCATTCATCACTCTCATTGCTAGTGGACTACTCTTGTTACCCTTTCATTCATCACTCCCATTGTAAGTGGACTACTCTTGTTACCCTTTCATTCATCACTCCCATTGCTAGTGGACTATTCTTGTTACCCTTTCATTCATCACTCCCATTGCTAGTGGACTACTCTTGTTACCCTTTCATTCATCACTCCCATTGCTAGTGGGCTACTCTTGTTACCCTTTCATTCATCACTCCCATTGCTAGTGGACTACTCTTGTTACCCTTTCATTCATCACTCCCATTGCTAAAGAGCCCATCTATTTTGAGCCACTTCCATTTATTACCTATTACCTTAGAGGTCCTCAACTGATGTCCACGAGGACAGAAAATAAATTACCTATGTTCGTAAACATAATGTAGTTGAAAAAATATTCCATATTGGGATTTTAAAATTTAAATTCTAGAGTTTGTTATGGAAAAAGATGTTTTTAAAAAAAATAAAATAACTTCTCAATTTTGCTTTCGAAATGACATTTTTAAATTTTAATTTCTAGATTTTTTGCTGTAGAAATGAAATATTTAGAATTAAATTCTAGAAATTTCTGTATAAAAGACATTTTTTAAATTCTAGACTTTGCTGTAGAAATGACATTTTAAGATATAAATAAAAGAGGATATTTTTTACCATCTGACTGACCCCTGTTATTATCGAAACTAAAAATTAATAGTAAACAACTGATACAAATGAATGTTATTTTTATGGAACTTTCTGCGATGGACAATTTTTCGTTTTTAATTTTTTTTGTACTCTTTATACTTACTATCGACCCGATTAGCTATCAATATTTTTTAAAAATAATATATTTGTCAACGATAGAACAACGGATGAAAAATATGCCTTAAATTGATACGTTATAAAGATAGATTGTATTTTTATTTTACTCATTTGACCAAGAAATAATTGCAGAATTTTATTATTATTATTATTTAAAATTTTTGTTGAAAGTATAGATTTTAAAAAAAAAATATTCCATTGGAACAAATAACTGTCAAGCAAATTTCATTTCGAATAAACTTACGTTCGGACAACATTCTTTCATACAAAAATTGTATTGCACCAATGGGTTTCTTACAAACTTTCCGGTGACCCAATTATTTCATGTCTGTCAGAAGCTGCCAAGGAAACTCTGATGGTGGACAGCGACATCATGCCCGGCAAGAGCTTCCTCGTCAGCGTCGGATCAAACGCCGTGCTCAAGTACTGCGTGACGCGAGCGGACAGGCGCATCACGACCTTCGGTTACGGCGGCACGCTGTTGCGCCAGGAGGAGGAGGACGCCGACAATCAGTGCCTGTCCATCACCATCAAGGTCACCACGAGTGATCTGTACAGGCAAGCGTACATGAGCTTCGGTGAGGTCCAAGGCACGTGCTTGATGTTCTGCACGTCGTCTGCCAACCTGTTACAAGGTACGACACGTGAAAATGGATCGTTTAACTTAACCGTTTAAAACGGATGTGCGCCTAAAGGTGCGCGGCTAAAGGTGTGTGGCTAAAGTATCGCGGTTAAAGGCGCGCGGCTAAAAGTGTACGGCTAAGGGTGGTCAGCGTCAGGTGTACTGCTAAGTTATTTCCATAAGTCATTTCCGAATAGACCTTACCTTCAAACTGGTATGGGATGTGGATGCTATTACAGTCTCTCGATTGGGTCTGACAGTAAACACGACAAATCCGATATGGTTTCTACGAAGTATAGAAAGGTTCTTCGGTAAATTATGTTTAGTTTGTCAGGTAAATTAGGCTTTTGTGGAAAAATAAAACTAAAATAAATGACCTTCGGCTTAAGTACTAAGTTTCACTAGGGAGCTGAAATATGTGTCTAACAACCTCTCATTACTGACAACCACACAATTCTGTCAGCCACTCAATATTGACTAAAGATTTTCTCTTACTTTTCAAACGGCATGCCTTATTATATTGACGACATAGAAATAAACATGCTAGTCTTTCAATTCACACCAGTGCTCAACACGATATTTCAATTTAAAAAAAAAAAATCTATTAAATTACATTATTGCTATCATTCATGTGTTTCCGAGAGTCATCATATAAATTATTTCCAAACTTTATAACAAAAAATATATATATATATAACTGAAAAAACCCACTATTTTATAATAAAATAATATTTATTGAAACGGCTGCCTGCCTCCCCCCCCCCCAACCCTATTCAACATCTTCTACCAATAGATAAACAAGGCGGTATTATTTGTATCTTATGCAAGTTATACTCACTGTTAATAAACTCACAGGTGAAATTAATAGATAACATTCACGAATAATAACATATCTCAATTAACGGTTCGTAGAACAAATTTTAATGATGTTCTATAGAACAATCACTTCTTTACTGATTTGATACCATTTTTTTTTTTATTTGAACCTTAAAAATAATTTTTGTGTTCATTCTTTTTCTTATAAAAAAATCACGGCCGCCATGTCTGTGTAAAATGTTTGTGTAAAATGTCTGTGTAAAATTTCTGTGTAAAATGTCTGTCCACTGTTATTTTTAACATTTTGTTTCATTTAGCTATGAAGAGCAAACTCGGGTCACAGTCCAGTGCGAGAGGATCACCGGGAACTTCCCTGGGTAAGAAACTCGTTTTACTATCTGCCAGGTGTATTTATATTTTTTGTTATTTTTTTTTTTTTTTGTGGCGGTGGCGGTGGCGGTGGTGATGGTGGTGGGGGGGTTGGTGGGGGTGGGGGTGGGGGTGGTGGCGAGGTGGTGGTGGTGGGGCCTCGTCGAAGTGGTCAGGAGCTAACCCCAATGCCTATAATTAAATTGAAATGGTAGGAACATAAATCAAATGTTAAACTCCATTTTAACCCCCATTTTAACCCCAAATATAACCACAATTGTAACCTTTAATTTGTCCTCCGTGTTAAATACACTTTTAAACACCCCCTTTTTAAGCACAATTTTTAACCCAATTTTAACACCCCCCCCCCAACCACCGTTTAAACAAGATTTTAACCTCTATTTAAAACCCACGTTTACCTCCATTTAAACACCATTTTAAAAACAATTTTTTTCTCAAACCCACTTCATTGTATTACAAAATCCCGAACATGTGTTTTCTCTTCTTTCAGACCTCGTCTTAAGCTTCCTCATTTTAGCAATGGCTGTGCCATGATTTGTCCAACATTGGATGGGCCAATCACTATGTATAGCTGTAGTTCGCCATTCATCGTGCTGCCATTATTTAAAAGCGTCCAAATTAATGTCATGACGTGAACGGAAAAACTCGCACATCTTCTCAGACAAGGATGATCAACGTCAACAAATTAAAACACAATATTTATAATTCCCTGAAAATATTTTGTAATTTGGTGTGAATAGCTGTATGCGTACTTGTTTCTTTGTTGCATCTTATTTTCGCCCAATTTGAGAATCGCATAACCATTTGAGAACAGTCAGCTAAAGGAAAAGGAAAAAGAAACACATAGAGACAATTTGCGGAAAAAAAACAAATTAACAGAATAGTTTAAATTTGAATTAAGGAATGTTCGATTCTCGATTTTTGAGATGGGGTAGGGCGATTGGGAGGTTGGTGGAAGGTCGTCTCCACTGATAGGCATACGGGAAAGACAAATCTTTGCCTATTGGAGAGTTTAGCATGTTTATGTGAAGGTTAGTAGTTTTAAGGAACAACAATCTCCCCAAAACAGACTTATAACGGATAAAGCCATTTTTAAAAATTATCAAACTAAAGAACAGATTTAACGGGTATATCAAACCAGCAACCTTATGCCAACATGGAAGAAGAGGCCGTTCTTATGTGACTTTTGTGTTCAGTTGTGGCATAACTTCTGGATGACCCCAGATTTAGTCAAAGAAATGGCGAAAATGGACCCATCAGGGTACACTGTAACAATTCATTGTCAAACAGAAATAGATCATTTTACCCCCTAATCTACAAAAACAAATATATATATATATCAATGGCCTGCCGCTGACCAGATCAAAAAGAAGAAGTACCAGGTGCTGCAGAAAATCACGGGAAACCGAAATAAATACAAAAATGCCGTTACATGGGAAAAATGTGTTTTACTATTTTACCGCCACCGGGAAAATGGCAAACTAGACGAGACAATGCAATGAAATTGTTGCGCCACTTTCAAAAGATATTAATATCATAGTAATGATATAGTGTAATCATTTTCTCCATTATGGTTCTCGAATATAATGGACCGCTGATGGAGGTAAGTATAAAAGTTTAAAGAAAATGTTGTATTCAATATTGTAGAAAAGGAGACAAATAGTCAACACTAAGACTGGGGAGGGGGGGGCACGGAGGCAATTACTGAAGGAGTCGACCGTCTTGGCCCCACTTGGAAGGGAGGCGCTATAAACGACGCCCGATGTGATGAGCGCCCCAATGTGTAATGCCGCAACAATTACGCCTAACAACTGCGGCTCTGTCTAGATTTAGACTCGACATACATGTCATAATGTTGCTTTTATTTATTATATTAAAATGATTTATCTTCTGAAGTATGTGGAAAACATTATTGCTTTTTGAAAATGTCCCTCCAAATAGTGTTTTGTTTTTTGTGTCTACATAACATTGTATGTCTTTGTGGTAGCCCGTTGCCGACTGTATTAACATACGACTGCGGTCAACTTTTATGTACTCTGGGTCAAATCTAAAAAAATTAGTCTTTAAATATAGTTGAGGAAAAAATAAAAAATAAAAAATGTTGACCAATAAGAAAGAGGGTTTGTGGTAAAACGACATTGTATGGGTTATTGTTCTCATCATCAAACCAATCCATGTGTTTCCTGGTAGAGGGTCCGAGGCGCTCAGCGGCTGTGCCAAACACCGTCTCACGAAGTGTGGTCCACGCTGTTTCCGCGTCCTGGTTGTCCAGTGTGATGGTATCGAGGCGTTCATCCAGGTTGTCAACAAAGGTTTGTCTCACATCAGCTTACTGGATCTTCAGCTTGCTGATGTTGAGGCGTTTCGGAGCTTTGGTGGCATGAGTCATTCATCAGTCATCTCAAGCATTCCCTGTCACAAACAGTGTGAAGCAGTGATGTGTCCTGGCTCCCACACTCTTTAGTATTATGTATTCTGCAATGCTGTCTGATGCATTCAAGGACGGCACCACAGGCTTGCCAATCCAGTCTCGCACCAACGGATCAATCTTCAACTTTAGGAGGCTTTAAGCTAAAACCAAGGTCGCACATGGCACCATCAACAAGCTTGAATTTGAGGACGATTGTGCCCTCAACGCTGCCTCAGAAGCCGCCATGCATTAAAGCTTTGATGTCTTCTCTGGGGCCTACAATAACTTTGGCCTCAAAATCAACACAAAGAAGACTGCCGTGAGGTATTAGCCAGCTCCCAGTAAGCCCTACGTTGAACCCAACATATTCATTAAGCGGACAGCGGCTTAAAGCGGTAGATAAATTTACCTACTTGGACTGCACCCTCTCCAGATCTGTCGTCATGGATGATGAAATTAATGCCAGACTCGCGAAAGCTAGTGCCATATTTGGCAGGCTCCGCAGCACTGTTTGGGACAGGAGAGGAATCAGACAAGAAACGAAATCAAGGTCTGGAGCGCAGCAGTCCTTCCCGCATTGCTCTACGGATGTCACGCCAAGAAACTGAATCATTTTCACACAACCTGTCTGAGGAAACTCCTCGACATCAGGTGGCAAGACAAAGTAGCTTACACAGAGGTCATCGCTAGAGAAAACCTACCTAGTATCTTTACCATCCTGATGCAGTCTCAACTCCATTGGATGGGACACGTACCCCGTATGGAAGACCACCAGCTCCCAAAACATACATTTTTTGGAGAACTCAAGATAGGCAAGCGCTCCCAAGAAGGTGAAAAAAGCATTTAAAAGACTCACTGAAAGCTGCACTAAAGGACTTCAGCATAAACACTACTCAATGGGTGCAGACAGCCCAGGACAGGGCCAGGTGGAGAGCAGCTGTCAAGAAGAGGGCTAAATCTCATGAAGCCTGTAGGAAAAAAAACACAGTTGAGACACGTAGGCTAGCCCGAATGAACAATATTAGATCACCGACTGCAGAAATTATCCCCTGCCCGCGGTGCCAGAGATTATTCCGAGAACGGATCGGACTAGCAAGTCACTTACGAGCTCACCGTAGCCCACCCTGCCCCCTAACCGGATGACTCAATGGTCCTAGTTGATTGTGACGGACCAACTACAATGGATTTGTGGAACACAGAGCTCTTTCAAGGCTTATGTCTGGACATTTCAATTGCCCATACTAATTTTAAAAAATACATAGGATAAACTTTCGATCGTTGTAAATATATTCTTAAGCCAGAGGGCGCAAAGGGTTCATTTCACATAATTTATTCCCTAACCTGAAAGTCAAAAATTCTTTCTTACCAGTGTTATTTAGACAACATGTTTACGGCATCTTTTCTCATGCACGAACTTTGGCTGATCCAACTTTTGGCAATACCATGGGTGTGGTTTAATTATTAATAGAGTTATTGTATCAGCCATCACCAGGAATAGCTTACATAGAACCTAAAATGTCACCAATAGAACAATTCACATGTTTTGGCATCAGCCTCGCCAGGTCATCCACAATAGAAGATGAGAGAAAAAATATTACGATATGTTTTAAGAAAGAAAGAAATCAGCCTTATTGAAATGTGAAATTTTCTATCAATGACTTACTTTTTAATAGGTATATGTCCATCGACAAAGCAAAATTGATTCACTATTTCTGACCAATTAATTATAAAGCTAGATTTTTAAGTATATGCAACACTATGCACCAAAACGCACTAACAACATACAGAGTAAGAAATAAATTCAAATTTCAAAATGGTGGAACTTGCTTTCTAATCCTACTTCGGCTCTCACCAATTTGTTGATATCAAATTTTGGTTTCCATTGTGTTGTGTGAGCTGGGCAAATCATCAGAGAGCCACAGTCCACCTTACCAGAGTAAGTTTCTTTTGTGTTGTAAGAACTGGGCACATCATCAGAGAGCCACAGACCACCTTACCAGAGTGAGTTTCTTTTGTGTTGTAAGAACTGGGCACATCATCAGAGGGCCACAGTCCACCTTACCAGAGTTAGTTTCTTTTGTGTTGTAAGAGCTGGGCACATCATCAGAGAGCCACAGTCCACCTTACCAGAGTGAGTTTCTTTTGTGTTGTGTGAGCTGGGCACATCATCAGAGAGCCACAGTCCACCTTATCAGAGTGAGTTTCTTTTGTGTTGTAAGAACTGGGCACATCATCAGAGAGCCACAGACCACCTTACCAGAGTGAGTTTCTTTTGTGTTGTGTGAGCTGGGCACATCATCAGAGAGCCACAGTCCACCTTACCAGAGTGAGTTTCCTTTGTGTTGTGTGAGCTGGGCACATCATCAGAGAGCCACAGACCACCTTACCAGAGTGAATTTCTTTTGTGTTGTAAGAACTGGGCACATCATCAGAGGGCTACAGTCCACCTTACCAGAGTGAGTTTCCTTTGTGTTGTGTGAGCTGGGCACATCATCAGAGAGCCACAGTCCACCTTACCAGAGCGAGTTTCCTTTGTGTTGTGTGAGCTGGGCACATCATCAGAGAGCCACAGTCCACCTTACCAGAGTGAGTTTCTTTTGTGTTGTAAGAACTGGGCACATCATCAGAGAGCCACAGTCCACCTTACCAGAGTAAGTTTCTTTTGTGTTGTAAGAACTGGGCACATCATCAGAGAGCCACAGTCCACCTTACCAGAGTAAGTTTCTTTTGTGTTGTAAGAACTGGGCACATCATCAGAGAGCCACAGTCCACCTTACCAGAGTGAGTTTCTTTTGTGTTGTAAGAACTGGGCACATCATCAGAGAGCCACAGTCCACCTTACCAGAGTTAGTTTCTTTTGTGTTGTAAGAACTGGGCACATCATCAGAGAGCCACAGACCACCTTACCAGAGTAAGTTTCTTTTGTGTTGTAAGAACTGGGCACATCATCAGAGAGCCACAGTCCACCTTATCAGAGTGAGTTTCTTTTGTGTTGTAAGAACTGGGCACATCATCAGAGGGCCACAGTCCACCTTACCAGAGTTAGTTTCTTTTGTGTTGTAAGAACTGGGCACATCATCAGAGGGCCACAGTCCACCTTACCAGAGTTAGTTTCTTTTGTGTTGTAAGAACTGGGCACATCATCAGAGAGCCACAGTCCACCTTACCAGAGTTAGTTTCTTTTGTGTTGTAAGAACTGGGCACATCATCAGAGAGCCACAGTCCACCTTACCAGAGTGAGTTTCTTTTGTGTTGTAAGAACTGGGCACATCATCAGAGGGCCACAGTCCACCTTACCAGAGTTAGTTTCTTTTGTGTTGTAAGAACTGGGCACATCATCAGAGAGCCACAGTCCACCTTACCAGAGTTAGTTTCTTTTGTGTTGTGTGAGCTGGGCACATCATCAGAGAGCCACAGTCCACCTTATCAGAGTGAGTTTCCATTATGTTGTGTGAGCTGGGCACATCATCAGAGAGCCACAGTCCACCTTACCAGAGTAAGATTCTTTTGTGTTGTAAGAACTGGGCACATCATCAGAGAGCCACAGTCCACCTTACCAGAGTGAGTTTCCTTTGTGTTGTGTGAGCTTGGATTATCATCAGAGAGCCACAGTCCACCTTACCACAGCGAGTTTCTTTTGCGTTGTAAGAACTGGGCACATCATCAGAGAGCCTCAGTCCACCTTACCACAGCGAGTTTCTTTTGCGTTGTAAGAACTGGGCACATCATCAGAGAGCCATAGTCTACCTTACTAGAGTGAGTTTCCATTGTGTTGTGTGAGCTGGGCACATCATCAGAGAGCCACAGTCCACCTTATTAGAGTGACTATACTTCGTGTTGTTCAGCACACCAGCATTTTTCCACAGCCCTCCTTACCAGAGTGAGGTTCCATTGAAACAGCGGACAGTCAGGAACAAGTTAGACGCCATCAATGTTCCCAGACAATGAGACAGGATAAATATAGCATATGCATATCATAGTGTACTCTATAAATCTGATAAAGTTATTTTATGTTATATGGTAATCTGTTATTGACGAATTAAATATATAATCATTACAAACATAACGGTACTTGAAAATTATTGTAAAGAAAGATACACATTAGCTTATTTTATTAGTCAAATACAATGGTGAATTTCATGAAAATATACGAGTTTAAAACGATTTACATAGGTTAATGCTGTTGTTATTAACTTAAATAGGTCAGAACTACTTGACAAGTATGACAACTACAGACAATAGACACGACACACGAGACCAGTATAATACAAGCGAGAGACACGATACACGAGACCAGTATGATACAAACAAGCGACACGATACAAGCGAACAACACCATACAGACGATAAATATGAGACCAAAATATACTTGATGGGAAGAAAAATTAGTAACTGGACCGACTTATTAGATTAAAACTGTTACAGTCAGTCGATTAAAATTTAGTTTTAAAAACGTATTACAATGTTTAACTTCCATTTATTATTATCTCTTTAATAGTGGAAATACAACAACTAAACAAGTCTGTAGACTCCTTTACTGTCGGATATGAGAAATAATGAACGGGAGAGTGGTGCTAGCCCTGTGTTTTACAATCATCTGTATCACGTCTAGTAAGTTGGTTAGCACAAATAATAGCAGTTTTCTAATTACGTAGGTAATGCCCGTGTCACTGTGTTCAATCGTTGCGTTCAAATGTCAAAAGTTGCGCAAAATAAAATAACCACAACAACAGGTAACCACAACAACAGGTAACAACAACAGGTAACCACAACAACAGGTAACCACAACAACAGCTAACCACAACAACAGGTAACCACAACAACAGGTAACCACAACAACAGGTAACCACAACAAAAGATAACCATAACAAGGGGTAACCACAACAACAGGTAACCACAACAACAGGTAACCATAACAACAGTTAAGATAACAAGAGTTTCTCGTTGATCGATTCTCTTTAATGGTCTAATCACATTATTGGGAATCATATTTTTATCCAAATTCGTTTTATCATGGAGGTGGAAAATGGTAATGTTTATGTAAAGACAAATAAAAGAAAAGAAATTTAAAGACAGCCCACCACTATAATATTTCATTTTTCTGACAGAAGTGGCATAATGCCACCACTGACATATTTTATCCTCTGGCAGTTGTAGCATTATACCACAGCTGACATATTTTATCATCGGACAGAAGGGACATAATGATACCACAGAAGTATTCTAGTATATAACATAAATGGCATCAACCCATCCTTTATACTGTCGTGACACAGAAATGGCATAGTTTAACATTTACCTATTTCATTGTCTGTCAGAGGTGGTTTCACAAACTATCAGAGCCTTTCAGTCCTACATTGAGGATCCAGCTTGCAAAAGGTATGGGGTGGCCCGTGTACGCACCGACATTGTTAAGTTTACAGCCACACTTGACGTGACTGACAACGTGGATCTCAAATACTGGTTCCGTTTTATAGTGATGCACGAGACCCTTGAAAACCCATGGACATCAGTTTGGGATAAGATGGTATGTGGCACATACATTTCGGTCAATGATAGTTGGTTTAAGATAGCAAGTGGTACTTACATTTCAGGGAGCGATAGATGGTCAAAGACGGTAAATGATACCTACATTTCAGTCAGCGATAAATAGTCTAAGCTGGTCAGGGGTACATACTGTTACAAGGTAGAGCCGTTTGCTTTGTGTACCCCACTAACCTAGTGGTATCAGCTTACCATCTACCAGGAAGGGTGATGCGCTGTTATCCTATAATAGCTCGACCAGCGTCTACCGCGGACGTTGACATGCTTTTAATGTCAAGCCACGTAAAAATAATTCCTCATTATTACTGAGTGTATTCCTTTACAGCAGCGGTTCTAAACCTGTGGGTCGCGACCCCTTTCCCGCCGCTTTAGAAAATCTGAAAACACATATTATATGCTCTACAGTTATGAAGTAAAATCGAAAATAATTTTGTGGCTGGGGGTCGCCACAACATGAGGAACTGTATTAAAGGTTTGCGGCATTTGGAATGTTGAGAATCACTGCTCTACAGTTACGGAGAGACAAGATAAGCACATCGATGCGTGACTAGCTATCCGTTGCATTTGCCAAGTACAAGATAGCGTTATTCAAAAGCTAGCAGCAATAGTCATTCCAGAAACTTAGACTTGTGATAGCATTGTTTATATTACTGTGAGTTTTAGATATTTTTAGTGTTAGACCTGTATTCATTTCTTGATATTAAGATTGTATGTATCTTTGTTCATATTATATACAATGTAATACAGTACATTGATAAAGAGCACTGATTATCTTTTTTTTTTTTTTTTTAGCCAACAGTGTGTCTAAAATCTACCTGTGTTAGCGCCTCTTCAAACCCCTAAATCACAAGCTTTTTCAAATTCAACTTGAACAAAATAGGGGGGGGGGGGGCGTGACAGTACATTTCAGGCAGCGATACTTGGTCTAAGATTGTAATTGGTACATACCTTTCAGTCAGAGATAGTTCATCTAAGATTGTAAGTGGTACATACCTTTCAGTTACCGATAGTAGGTCTAAGATTGTGATTGGTGCATATATTTCATTCAATCATAGTTAGTCTAAGATGGCCAGTGGTACATACATTTCATGGAGTGATAGATGGTCAAAGATGTTAATAGGTACATAGATTTCACTGTGCGATTGTTGGTCTAAGATTGTAATTGTAAATAGATTTCAGACAGCGACAGTTGGTCTAAGATTGTAATTGTTACATAAACTTCAGTCAGTGATAATTCATGTACGATTGTAAGTGGTACATACATTTCAGTCAGCGATAGTTGGTCTAAAGATGATAATTGGTATATACATTTCAGGCTGTCTTAGCAAGTTAGTCTAAGATTGTAAGTGCTACATACATTTCGGTAAATGATAGCTGGTCTAAGATGGTTAGTGGTACATTCATTTCAGCCGGTCATGGTAAGTTGGTCTAAAATGGTAGGTGGTACATAAATACAAGTCGGTTATAGCAAGTTGGTCTAAGATGGTAAGTGCTACATACAATTCAGTCGGTCAGATCAAGTTGGTCTAAAATGATTAGTTTTAAAATTCGCGTGCATGAACTTTAAATGAAAGAAAATTGATGGAAGGAAAATTGTTTCTATTTTGAAAGAAAGTTTGCTTAAATGGGAAAATGGGGAGAAAAAACCTGAATTTAATAACACATTTTTTTTACATTTCCTCCATTTCTCACCTTTCTCACCTGAACATTTCCTTAAATAAAAAAAAAATTAATTAAAAGATACATAAATGTCTTTAAAATTAATTTAATTTTCCATGAAAACAAAGTTTCCGTTCTAACAAAATTCCGACAAACAATTTTAATTCCAACAAATGTATTTCGTAAATGATTCTTGATTTGGCAAAATTTAACGGAGACATTACTGATACTGATAGATTATTTCAATATAATATAATACTGACTTATTTCCCTTGCGTCGCATTTTATTTGAGCGTCACTAGAACATTACAATTTGAGAGTCAGTAGGACGTGACAATTTGAGATTTACTAGGACAAGACAATTCTGAACGTGTTCAAACTTAACCGAGAAATTAAATATTTACAGTTTAGAAAACTTTTTTGTTGTATTTTAGTCTTGCACTTTCTTTGAAAAGCTGTACAAATCATTTTGAAGTAGATGGAAGGCCCTCTTACTGGATATTAACCTGCTGACGGTGAAAGAAATGAAATAACCTTGTAACCAGTCGCGTAGCTAGGGTCAGTGCCACCCGTAGCGGCCCAAGATGTTAGCCGCCCCCCCCCCCCCCCCACCCCCCAATCCCACTTCCACGAAAATGCCAAGTCTCCATATAGAGACAAAAAAAAAATGCCGTTCAGGGAGACCGTCCCTGTCGCCCCGGCCTGTGGGTGTATCATTCACAAACGCCCCTTTTTCAGGTCGACAACATACTTTTGGGCGCATGCAACGACTTCGTCTCCAAGAAGAGGGTGGGGCGGACGGAGTATCAGACATGCTCCAGAGATCCACGGAACAGGAACTGGCTGAATGTCGACATAGCCACCCGGGCCATCGCTAAATTCAACATGACGAAAATCATCGGCCTATGGTACAATAGGGACCTGGGATACGTCAAGACGAACATTGTGATCAGATATCCCAGAGTCATCGGTAGGTCAAACGGGTGGTCTGTGGTGAGAAGCGTGTGATACTATGTATCACTGTTATTGTGTGTATTGGGTGAACTTTGTAACCTGTTTGCCCTGTGTTGTTATCATATGGTGTGACAGGGCGTGGTGAGTTGTTTTCATGAATGTTTCAACGTGAAGGTGTGACTATTGGTTGGACAACTGGAGTGAGTCATCATGTGACATGGGGAATCAAAATAATCGGAATGAGAACAAAAGATCAATTGTTACACAGAACACAGACGAGTTGGCGTCATGTTTTTACTATTCCTTAGCGTCAGAAGTGCTATCTCACCCACGCCAACATTCGTTGATGAGACTACCTTTCGGACTCAACTCTTCTGCAGAAGTATTCGCTCAAAGGTGCCAGCAGGTTTTTGAAAGCATTCCAATTGTTAAAACGTATATGGAAGAAATGCTTATCGCTGGCAGAACTGTAGAAGAACACGATGAACGATTGAAGAATGTTTTTTTCACACAGCCAGAGAGAAAGGGATCAAACTGAAACCGTTCAACTGCTGTCTACTGGTCAAGGAAGTTAACTTTGTAGGCCACATCATTGCGGATAGTGGAATCAAACTTGATCACCACTATAGTGGAATCAAACTCGATCACCACTATAGTGGAATCAAACTCGATCACCACTATAGTGGAATCAAACTCGATCACCACTATAGTGGAATCAAACTCGATCACCACTTTAGTGGAATCAAACTCGATCACCACTATAGTGGAATCAAACTCGATCACCACTATAGTGGAATCAAACTCGATCACCACTATAGTGGAATCAAACTCGATCACCACTATAGTGGAATCAAACTCGATCACCACTATAGTGGAATCAAACTTGATCACCACTATAGTGGAATCAAACTCGATCACCACTATAGTGGAATCAAACTCGATCACCACTATAGTGGAATCAAACTCGATCACCACTATAGTGGAATCAAACTCGATCACCACTTTAGTGGAATCAAACTCGATCACCACTATAGTGGAATCAAACTCGATCACCACTATAGTGGAATCAAACTCGATCACCACTATAGTGGAATCAAACTCGATCACCATCATAGTGGAATCAAACTCGATCACCACTATAGTGGAATCAAACTCGATCACCACTATAGTGGAATCAAACTCGATCACCACTATAGTGGAATCAAACGTGATCACCACTATAGTGGAATCAAACTCGATCACCACTATAGTGGAATCAAACGTGATCACCACTATAGTGGAATCAAACTCGATCACCACTATAGTGGAATCAAACTCGATCACGACTAAGATTGAAGCTATACAATATACACCATGTCCCTCAAGTCGCAAAGATTTAGAAAGATTTTTATAAACGAATAGTTTACTTGGAAGATTTCTCCCAAATCTAGCAGACGTAACTGCACCCATTCGAGAGTTTATCACCAACGACGATATCCTCGACGACGCGGTCTACAAAGATAGTAAATAAATTACCCATGGGTGTAAACATATTGTAATTGATGACACATTCCATATTGCAGCTTTTAAATTTTAAATTCTAGATTTTGCTGTAGAAATGAAATTTTTAAAATTTAAATTCTAGAGTTTGCTATAGAAATTATATTTTTAATTTTTAAATTCTAGAGTTTGCGATAGAAATAATATTTTAAATTTTAAATTCTAGAGTTTGCTATCAAAATGATATTTCTAAATTTTAAATTCTTGATATTGCTGTAGAAATGACATTTTTAGAAATGGAACTTTAAAAATTATTTTGACCATCTGACATCTGACTGGCAATCTATAATTAACTTAATCTAAAATTAATAGGAAATAACTTGTCAGATTGAATAAAGGAACTTCCTTTGACGGACAATTTTTTGTTCAAATGAAATTTGTTTCCCTCTTTAAGTAATGATCCATTATGCTATAAATAAAATAAATCAACAGAACTTGCAACGATATCAAAACTAAAGCAAAACATCCCTGAAAGGTTTACTTCATAGAGATATAATTTTTATTTTTACTCATTTGACAAATAACTGCAGATATCATTATGATTTGTATTTATGTTGAAAGTATTAATTGAACCAAAAAAAATTATTCGAACAAATATCTGTCACCGAAATTTCGTTTCGGATAAACTTCCACTCCGTCAACATTCTTTCATGCAAAAAGTGGTTTGGTACCAACTTCCGGTGACCCAATTATTTCATGTCTGCCAGAAGCTGCCAAGGAAACTCTGATGGTGGACAGTGACATCATGCCCGGCAAGAGCTTCTTCGTCCGCGTTGGGTCAAACGCTACGCTCAAGTACTGCGTGACGCGAGCGGAAAGGCGCGTCACGACCTTCGAATTCGGCGGTACGCTGGTGCGCCAGGAGGAGGAGGACGCCGACAATCAGTGCCTGTCCATCACCATCAAGGTCACCGCGAAGGACTTGTACAAGGAAGCTTATATGAGCTTCAGTGAGGTCCAAGGCCCTTGCCTGATGTTCTGCACGTCGTCTGCCAACCTGTTAGAAGGTACGTTACATGAAATGGATCGTTTAACATCACCGTTTTTATGTAAACGGGTGAGCACCTAACGGTGTTTTTACTTTTCTTGGTTAAAGGTGCCCGGTTAAAAGTGTGCGGCTAAAGGTACGCAGCTAAAGGTGTGCGGGTAAGTTATTTCCAAATAGATTTTACCTTCAAATTGGTATGAGGTGTGTAATGCTATTATAGTCTCTCCAATGGAACTGACAGTAAACACGAGAAATCCTATATGGCTTCTATGAAGTAAAGAAAGGTTTTAGGTAAATTAGGCTTTAGTGGAGAAAAAAATAAAATATATGATCTCCTGCTTACCCACTAAGTGTCACTTAGGCACTGAAATATGTGTCTAGCAACCACACTTTACTGACAAGCACAGATTATTGACAAGCACACTTTACTGACAACCACAAAATGCTGATATCCACAAAATGCTGACAACCACACAATACCGACAACCATACATTACTGACATCCACACAAAACTGACAACCTCTTATTACTGACCATGCATTATTATATTGAAAACATACATACATATATGTATGGCATTCTTTCGTCTTCGCGAGACGACGGAGTAGCCAGGTAGTCCTCCACTTCGAGTGGCTCACTAGGCCAATCCTAAAATGACAATCTCGACTTCATTTCTCGCATGAGAATAGAGATTCCTGTTAAGATCTTGACTTCCGTATTGTTCTTTTGGTTGCAAGGGCCTCCTTTCGCGTACTTTCTGCCTTTTTTAAAAAAAAACTCCTTCATACACTGCTGTTCGCCAGCTGGAACGTTGTTCGGCAATGAGCACCCATTCTTTGTTTTCAATATTGGCTTCCCTCATGCTACTTTTGCAAACGTCCATAAATCTCAGGCGGGGGCCGTCCAATAAGTCTTACCCCTTATGCCAACTCTCTATACAGGAGGATCTTTGGGATACGGCCTTCCTCCATTCTCCTCACGTGGCATAACAGCGAAGGCGCCTCTTGCAAAGAAAGGAGAATATGCTGAACATGTGTGCACCTGTCCAAGACCTGCATGCTAGGCACCTTGTGCTGCCATCGAATGCATAAAATGCGAATCAGATATCTTTGCCTGAAGCTGTTGAGTTGCCGCTCCTGACTGGTATATTTGGTCCATACTTCACTGCCATATAGGAGCGTAATAAGCACACATGCCTGATGGACACTTATTTTTGTTTTATCAGATAGATTGATATTATTCCAGACCCGCTTATTCAGTTTAGCCATAGTTGCTACTGCCTTTTGGATCCTGATATTTATCTCTTAATCGAGGGAGAGAGAACTAGAAATACTGGATCCAAGGTATGTGAAATACTCAACAACCAAAAAATTATGACCCTCAATATATATGTTTGGAGGGGACGGTGCTTCTTGCATCATTACACGTATATTTCTGTTGACTAATTTAAGACATAGAAATATTCATATAGATGAATGGACTCACTGGTGAATGGACTCACTGGCGAATAAACTCACTGGGGAATAAACTTACTGGTGAATAGACTCACTGGTGAATGGACTCACTGGTGAATAAACTTACTGGTGAATAAACTCACTGGTAAATAAACTCACTGGTGAATGGAATCACTGGTGAATAAACTCACTGTTGAATGGACTCACTGGTGAATAAACTCACTGGTGAATAAACTCACTGGTGAATCGACTCACTGGTGAATGGACTCACTGGTGAATAAACTCACTGGTGAATCGATTCACTGGTGAATGGACTCACTGGTAAAAAACTCACTGCTGAATGAATTCTCTGGTGAATAAATTCACTGGTGAATGGACTCACTGGTGAATAAACTCACAGGTGAAATTCGAGATATAACATTCACGTAAATTAATATATATCAACTGATGGTTTCAAGAAAAATTTGAATGTTATTCTATAGAACAATCTCTTATTTACTGCCTTGATACAATGCTTTTTTGCACCTACAAAATAATTATTTTATTTCCTTTTTTTTCCCCCAAAAACATTATGGCCGCCATGTCTGTGTAAAATATCTCTCCACTGTTTCACTAACATTTTGTTTCATTTAGCAAAGGGTGGCAGACGCGGGTCACAGTCCAGGGCCGGCAGACTAATGAAAACTTCCCTGGGTAAGAATCACATATTTTGTCAGCTAGATGTACATATATTTGTGTTTTTGTTTTGTGGCGGGGGGGGGGGGGGGGGGGGGCTTGTACTGTATACCAGTGATCGGGAGGTGACGTCATTATTTATAAATAAAAGAAAATGGTAGGAATATAAATCACATCTTAACGGTATGGAATATGAAACCGTCTGTTAAACCCAATTTTAACCCCCATTTTAACCTCAATTTCAACCCCCTTTTAACCCCCATTTCAGCCCCATTTTAACGCCCATTTCAACCCCCATTTCAACCCCATTTTAACCTCCATTTCAAACCCCATTTTAACCCCATTTTAACCCCATTTTAACCCCATTTTAACATCCATTTTAACCTCCATTTCAAACCCCATTTTAACCCCATTTAACCCCATTTTAACTCCCTTTTTAACCCCATTTAACCCCATTTTAACAACCATTTTAACCTCCATTTCAATCCCATTTTAACCCTCATTTCAACCCCATTTTAACCCCATTTTAACCCCATTTTAACCCCATTTAAATCCCCATTTTAACCTCCAATTCAAACCCCATTTTAACTCCATTTAACTCCATTTTAACCCCATTTAACCCCATTTTAACAACCATTTTAACCTCCATTTCAATCCCATTTTAACCCTCATTTCAACCCCATTTTAACCCCATTTTAACCCCATTTTAACCCCATTTTAACCCCATTTTCACCCCATTTTAACCCCCATTTTAACCTCCATTTCAACCCCCATTTTAACCCCCATTTAAACATCCACTTTAACCCTCATTAAACCCCTATTTTCACCTACATGTAAACCCCATTTTTAACCCCCTGTTTAAACCCCCATTTTAAGCCCCAATTTAACCTACATGTTAACCCCCATTTTAAACACGATTTTGACCTCCTTTTAACTTCAATTTAACTTTCATTTAATCCCCAGTTCAGTTCCTATTTTAACCTTCATTTTAACCCCCCTTTTAACCCCCATTGCAACCCATATTTAATCTTTTTAACCCCATTTGAACCTCCATTTTAACCCCAATTTTAACCACAATGTTCTCACAAACCCACTTTATTTTAATAGAAACTCCCAAAACTGTTTTTTGCCCTTCTTTCAGAACTCGTCTTAAGCCTCGCCATGCTAGCAATGGCTGTGCCATGATTGGTCCAACATTGGATGGACCAATCACGATGCAAAGCTCACCATTCAGCTTGCTGCCATTACTTAGAAGCGCCCAAATTAATGTTATGACGTGAACGGAAAAACTCGCACATCTTCTCAGACAAGGATGATCAACGTCAAATGATTAAAACACAATATTTGTAATGCCACGAACATAGTTTGTAGTTCGGACTGAATAGTCGTATACGTAATTGTCTTTTTTTGCATCTTATGTTAGCACATTTTTAGCCTCCCATAATCCATTTGGGAACAGCCAGCTAAAGGAAAGGTATAAATTTAAAAAGAAAAAAACACACACAAATGCACACAGGTTGCGGAAAACGCAAATCAACCCAAAATTTTAAATTTTAATTAAGGAATGCTCGATTCTCGTTACTGGAGGGTGGGGGGTGGGGGTTTGTTCTGGGTTGGTGGAAGGTCGTCTCCACTGATTATAGGCAGAAAATGCACGAAAAGGGTAACAACTCTTTGCCTCTATAAACTTTTGGAGAGTTTGGCGGGTGGAGGTTGTTGTCTGTAGTTTTGAGCAACACCCGTACCCCAAAAAACAGACTTATAACGAATAAAACCTTATCCACACAAAGAAAGAACAGACAGTTCATGGGGTATTATACTTCAAACCACCAATCTTATCCACACAAAGAAAGAACAGACAGTTCATGGGGTATTATACTTCAAACCACCAATCTTATCCACACAAAGAAAGAACAGACAGTTCATGGGCTATTATACTTCAAACCACCAATCTTATCCACACAAAGAAAGAACAGACAGTTCATGGGCTATTATACTTCAAACCACCAATCTTATCCAAATAAAGAAAGAACAGACAGTTCATGGGGTATTATACTTCAAACCACCAATCTTATCCAAATAAAGAAAGAACAGACAGTTCATGGGCTATTATACTTCAAACCACCAATCTTATCCACACAAAGAAAGAACAGACAGTTCATGGGCTATTATACTTCAAACCACCAATCTTATCCACACAAAGAAAGAACAGACAGTTCATGGGGTATTATACTTCAAACCACCAATCTTATCCACACAAAGAAAGAACAGGCAGTTCATGGGGTATTATACTTCAAACCACCAATCTTATCCAAATAAAGAAAGAACAGACAGTTCATTTTGGGTACTTGAAACCAGCAACTCTATGCCAACATGAAGGTAGGGACAGTTCTTATGATACATTTGCGTTCAGCTGTGGCAGCACTCTCGGACAACCCCAGACACAGTTTTAAAGACACGTCGAAAATGGACTCATCGGCGAACGCTGTAACATTTCTTTCTAAGGCAGAGATAGATCACCCAAGCCCTTAATCTTCCAAATATTCTATAGAACTGACGCTGACCATGTCAAAAAGAACTTACAAAGAGTCAGGTGCTGGAGAAAATTACAAAAAAAAAACAAAAAAAACAAAAA